TAAAGCCAAAGGTGCAGTAGAGACCCCAAAAGTTTAAAAAAGCCAACAACATAGATGATCCAAAAAAGCTACAAAAAGTAAGCAGAAAAGATTTAAAAAGCAAAGCTGCAGCAGCTGATATCCCTGGAAGTGCCATGGGGGTAAAATCACCCAAGCCGTTTAGAGCTTATAACCAGATTGCTTCAGATGCTGAGCATAAAACTCTAGGACTTAATGTTTGTCTTGCTGGATGTTGGACTTGCTTTGTTTCCAGTGCTTTATATTACCCTGTTTGTAACTTTTGGAATGGTAATGTTTATCTTGTGCCTTTGCATTTCAGAAATGTTTAACCTTGTTTCATTTATACAGGGGTTACAGTTAAGAGTTTACCATAGATCTTAAAAGACACTTGAGACTTACTTTTCAACAATGCCAAAACTGTTAAGACTTTGACAACTCTTACAGGTGGACTAAATGTCTTTTATATAAAAAATGTACAAGAGTCCTGGGGGCCAGGAGTGAAATGTCTTGGTTTACGTCTGTGACCCCCCAGGTCTCATGAGTTTGCATTGTGCATTTGTGATGGTTCATTGTCTAGTGCTTGGCTTGATGGTGTCAGGCTCCACCCACATGGGGGTGGGGCCAAGATGTGATGTAATGGCAGGAAGAAGGTGTGTCTTGCTCTTTGCTGGTTCCTGCTTGCTGTTTGAAGCCATGATAAACTGCCATCCAGCCATGCCAGCCTGCCTTGGAGCCAACTGAGTATAGACGAAAATCTCCAAAAACTATAAAAAATAAACCTTTCCTCTCCCAACTTTAGGCTTCAGGTATTTTGTCTCAGTGATAAATGTAAAGTAACTAAGACATATATATTAATATTAGTTATCCTTAAATTGAATATACATAAATCTCAGTAAAATGTGTTCTTTGAGAAAAAGCAAGCTAAAATTATTTCTAATTAACATTTTGGAAAATATTTGCATCAAATTGTGCTTTCCCATCTACAGATTTTAAGTACCTTCAGGATGATTTCTTCTACGTACATGTGTGTGTGTGTGTGTGTGTGTGTGTGTGTGTGTGTACTTGAGCATGTGTGTATATGACAGAGACAGAGTGAAGAGAGAAAGGGATAGAGAAAGAGATAGGCAAAGCAGGAGGCAGAAAATATTATTTACTGAATTATAAATCAAATGTTCATTTTTTGTACTAAAATAAAACATAATATGGAAATATGAAATCTCAATGTAATTTTGTATTGTATTATAGCTGGCTGGTGTATTTACAACGGTTAATTTAGAGATGCATGTATATTTTTCTTGATCTCAAAATAATGAAAACAGAATTAGAGCAATATTTCTTTGAAAATAGCCATAAGTTTCTGCAAATAAAATCATGTTTTATTACTTAAAAACTATTTATCTATCAATTATAGAAAATCATTTAGGCTTATAATTTTCAACCAAAAGCTTACTTTTAATATCATAAACATTGAGCATATTTACTGTTGTAATATTTAGTTTAGTGCTATATTTCTGTACTTGTGTTATTTGAGGAGCAAGCAAAGGCTTTTAATTGCAGTGACTAGAAAGCTAAGTAAAGGAAGTAATGTAAGAAGTAAGGAAAGAAAATTAAAATAGAAGAAAACGGATTGGAAGATCGTTCGGCGTTCTTGTTTATTTATCATGTGTCACTACTTGGATACTTAACTTACATATAGTCAGAAAATATTTTGTCTTGATTCAGATAAAAATAATCTACCAGAAATAAAAAAAAAAAAAGAGCTGGGGATCTAACTCATCAGCCTCTGACTAAAAGCGCAAGGTCGTGAGTTTGATCTCTGGTATAAAAATAAATAAATAAATAAAGTACTTAAAAAATGTGATTCAATTAAGCAAAATCCTCACTAATTTGATTTCCATAGTTTAAAAATTATATTTTCATGTCAGAAAAGAGATTTTTTTTTTCTGTTGGGTGAAGAAATCATATCTTTAAATGTAGCCAAATGTTGATAGATGTTTAAAAAGGTGTGGCTTTAAGTTTAAAGAATTATAGCTGCCTTTTATTGACTATCTACAATATGTTAGGTACTATATCCCAGGGATATTTGTACTTTTATATATGTTGATCTTTAAAAAACTTCAATCAGAAAGGCACTGTTTTCTCCCTTTTTCAACGTCAGAAATTCATTTAAAAAGAAAGAATCCTGCACTGGGCCATTTCTAGAGATAAAATTTTGGAAATCAGAAGACCCATTCTAGCTTCTTATTTGGCTCTTTTTAATTCAGTCTAAAAAGATGAGTTGAGTCTTGAACAATACCCATAGCTCCTGATTTTTAAGAATTCACTGCATTCTTTTGGCTGCATTTCAGTTTATTCAAGTCTTCTTATATCTGACTTGAAAGTTTAGATATTTTGCGTACGTCAATCTTATGATGATAAATTAGTGATGGATCTTCTTGATCAATTTGCTTCACACCATAACATTTGTGTACCAATTCTTAGTCCACATGCATCACCAACCCTACCTTCCTGCAGGCTGATAAATTGCAAACAATTCTGCCAATTAAGTTTTAAACATCTTTATGTCAAATTAACTAAGAATTATTTCCATAAGGCACAGTAGTTTAAACATTGCATTACTCTGATTTACAGTCTCATTGAAATAAATTACACTAAATTTATAATCTTTCATATTCTCACTTTTAAAGTGTTAAAGAATTACATAGCATAATATATATGAGATGGAGTCTAATAAGCTGGTTTTGAAATAATTTTAGGGGGAAAATGCTTCATGTTTTGTTCTCAGTATAATCATTGTCCCAGGCATACAGCTGATGCTCAACAAATAATTGTACTACTGGCCAAACTTCAGACTCCTGCATTACAGCATAACTTATACTGCAAATTGGGATTCTTCTGGAAAAAATATATATAGCATTTATGTTTATAAAATATCATAAATACATTTTTTCCTTTTCTGTTAATCATACTCTCCTTAATAAGTTTTGGAACTCAGAAAAGTTTATAGAGATTATCCATTAGTTCTCTCTTAGGACTTCCCTTTTTTACTCACCTGATTTGTAAGTAAGAAAAATCCCTACGGAGATATTATCAAATATACTTTAAAATCTGTAAGCTCTTCAGGAGGAAGATCACTTGAAAAATCATGTTTGGACAGTTTGTTCCTTAGTATTTACTTGATCAAAAATGATACTGATAAGATAAGGGCACATTAAAAGAAAAACAAAAAGTGTTGTTTTTGCTTAGAGGACTAAATTTGTATGAAAGAGGAAAACACACTAAATAAAAGGGATAATGTGACCTTCCTTACACAAAGAGAAATACATTTCTAGTATTATTTGACTTGGTTTTTTTGTAGCACTCACGTAGGCATGTGTCAATGCCTTTGAAAGGGAATGATGCTCGTAAGATAGCTGTGCATGAAGGTGAAATGTGCTACCATAGAGGCAATTAGAACCGTTTATGATTATAGTTTATGTGATGTTAGCATCAGTTCATTAAAAATGTACTGAACTATCAACTCATTTCACATAGGTCATTGACCAGCAATAAATTGATATCAGCTCTTCTCCATTATGACTCTTAGCTGAATTTGAACCAGTGACTCATAGAAAATAGGCTGTATCTATTGTCAGTCTGTAAAAGTACACTTATAGCTGCAGTACAGTTAGCGATTACATGTGTTTCCAACGGCATTTCTGTCTCTTTGAAATAAATACAATCAGTAAATTGTCTTGAAAATCACACATACTGGGTAATAGAAAATGAATATATTATACATTATTTCGTATTTACATTTCATTTACAAATTTATAAATTCATGATTTTCTTCAATCTGAATAAAACTGATCACACGTGAAATGATGTTAAAAGATTTTGAGCTGTCAAAGAAGAATGAAAATTAGGCCCAGGAGTATACCACAGAGTTTCTACTTGTGTAATCCTCTAAGGCTAAAGTTTTCACTCCACATTTGCTGTATTCTCATATTTCATGGATTGTTCAGATTAAGGAACATTTACTGAGAGAATTAAACTTTATGTGCTGAAATACACAAATTTTTATTATTAAAACTAGCTTTTATTGAAATAACCATATAGGCACTTTAGTTCACCTCTAGAACTGATTTTGTACAAACAGACTCCGAAGTATAAACACCTTCCGACTGTAATATGCTGTAACCAAAGACTGGTATCTGGGCCACTGGGTAATAAAAATTTACTAATTTAATCTCTCTCTCTCTTTCTCTCTCTCTCTCTATCTTTCTCTCTCCTGTATCTCTATCTCTTTCTCTCTGTCTCTAGCTGTTTCTGTCTCTCCTCTGTCTCTTTTCTCTCTCTTTTTACCTCTCTCTCTCTGTCTCTCTCTCTCTCTTTGTCTGTCTGTCTCTGTCTCTCCCCTCTCCTGTTTTTCTGTAGTCTCTTTTCATATATAATAATTGCAACTTCACAGAACTTGGTGACTTGAAATAATAATTTTACTGTTCATTATTGGTTTAAATATATCCACATATGAAAGGCTACCTTAGAAAATCACATACTGATGCAAGGAATATATTGATTGCAAAAATTACTGTAAAAACTTCAAGTAAGCCAAATACCTGACCATTCAAAATAATTGAAATGCCATATTAGGTATTCACTCAAATGTATGAAGCAACATATTTGCACATTTCTTTGTATTTAGATATTGCCTATAAATTTGTCAACTAGTATAAGCATTCTTTTTTGCCCTTCTTATGACACTTTTGAAAGCGTTTTTATCTGTTTTTGTGATCTTACATATATAAGATGTACAGTCTTTTTGATTATTTGCTGGTTGGGCACTACCCATCCAATGACAAATACCAAATGCTTGTTCTTGGTTTGTTCCCAGTCTTACTTAATTGGTTTTATTCGGTGCCGTTTCTTGATAGTTTATTGTGCATATTTATCGTGTCCACTAGGCGCGCACGCTTTGCCAGGAGGAGTGTTAACTGGCCTGTCCTGTGGTCTCTTTGTAGTCGCAGCGCCGTGTTACGTTTCACCTCCCCGACGGCTCCCAGGAAAGCTGCAGTGACAGCGGGCTGGGAGACCACGAGCCGGTGGGTAGTGGAACCCTGATCTCACACCCTCTTCCTCTGGTTCAGCCACAGGACGAGTTCTACGACCAGGCCTCTCCAGACAAGAGGACTGAAGCAGATGGCAACTCTGACCCCAACTCCGGTGAGTCCTTTTAAAATTCTCACTCCTGGGAGCTGCGGTTTCTTATACATTGGGGTGATCTGCGATGCACATTAACAGATATTGTCTTCTGGCCTTTTTGTTGTTCTATTATTGAAATAAACCGATGATAATATGGTTGATATGTTGACTATTGAGTTGTATATCTTCATTTTCTGAAGCACTGAAAAATAAAACCATGACACAAATATAAGGAAAGTATTTTTGTAAGATATCCTGGTATCAAACATGGTGTAGTGTAAAAGCACATATTTTAGATACGGTATGATACAGTTAAGTGTAAAATGGCAAGTGAATATTTTATATATATAAATGTCCTGTGGGAAACTGTTTTTCAGTGAACACTTTAGAGGAACAACAAAAGATTAACTTGTATTTAAAATAAGCAGGAAGACAAAAGATAATTATTTTGTTTTTCTTCTTTTCTTTTCTTTTCTTTTCTTTTTTTTTTTTTTTTTTTTTTTTTTTTTTTTTTTTTTTTCCTCTCTGCTTGGGGTTTTTGGATGATTTGTTTTTTGTGTTTTGACCACGTTGTTTTTTTTTTTTTTTTTTTTTTTTTTTTTTTTTTTTTCTTTTCACAATCTTTATTGTTCGCACATCCACACAGGAATTATTGTCTGTTTGAAATAAGCTCTGTAAAATCACTTCTTCCTTGACCTGTGGAATAAATCTTAAGCAAAGGCTGTCTACTGCTTCTTTAGTCATATTCCTCCTACCACTGTCTCATCCACTTTAATTAAAAAAAAAAAAAAAAGGAACAGTTGAAACCTATAAGGACCAGGCCAGACTCATGATGATAATGGTATTTTACTTACACTGAATGTTCTTTTTTTTTCTAACAAAGCGATGTTGATGCACGTTTGGGACTAATGGGTACCTGAGAAATCTGTGCATTTTCCCAATGGTGCTGTGATATTAAAAGTTATGAAGGGAAATAAGTCAATAGTATCATAAGATGTCATCTGAACTGAAAATGTTTAAAAAAATTAATTCATCTTTAATCTTCTTCCAACTAGTTGCCTAAAATGAGAAATGGGATTAGTATGACTTTTTAATAATTTCTAGCTATTTAGACTCAGCTGCTTCAGACAATAAAGTAGCTCTGACATCTATGATTGAAGTAGGAATATTAAGAGGATGTAGAAAGGACAAAAAGGGCTTTCATAACTAGTCCTGAGTCTTGGTGTTGTTTGACTCTCAGGGTTTTAAATTGATTCTTTCTATCAAAGAAAGAGAGCTGTTGTAGGTGTTTCTCCTTTCTGCCTCCACCAAACATGGACCGCCCAGCATCTCTGCCGGGTTCCAATGTGTAGCCTTAATCTCACAGGCAATAGTTTATGTGTGGAGGTATGTTCACATCTTCTTTCTCCTGATGTTTACCCTTTCTGGTAGTTGTTTTGTTTCATTTTATTTTGTTTTGTTTTGGGAAGATGTAGGTAAACTTAGGAATTTCTGTACAAAATATTGGTTGTGTAAGAATATAGCGAAGGCAGATTGTATCCAGTGCGTCAACACTGAATTTGGGAGATCAGGACATCAATTCTCTTTAGTTTCTTGACGTTGATTTGTATAAGCACCGCTGTATCTTAAGTATTCTCACTGATTCAGACTTCCCTAGACTGTTGTGGACAGGTTAGAGTAGATAGGATTTAAAATAGCTCTTCCTATACTGTTACTATATTCTGTAACTCCAATTTTAAAATAGCACTTATTTGCCTTAAACTAAGTCTGGAAACTAGTCCTAACCTGCCTTTTATAAAAGTATATAGGAATGGTTGAATCCTCTTATCTTGGGGCCTTAGTCAAAACCAAGTAGAAGACTCACATTTAAACACTTTGGAATAAATTGTTTTAGGAAATGTCTATACAATTCAACAAGGCTATTTTATAGAACTATAGACAAAGTAGTTATGATATGTGAATTTCTAGGTGAAGGGTTTATACTTGCCTCAGACAGTGTTTGCATTATTTTTAGCCAGAATAATGAAATATTTTGGATGCACATGCATGATGTCAGATGCAATAAGTTTATCCAGTGGGTTTCAAAATTTGATAAACATATTGGGTCCTTGTTAGTTACTTAATTGAATTAGTTGTTTTAAAATATTCAGCTGGAAAACAAAAGCAGCATGTATGATTTATTTACTAGATTGAAAAAAAAAATGATCGCTCGTTCTATATTTTCTGTGTCCTTGCTTTGTCTATACTGATACAGGGCCAGGTGAGATGTACATTAGTATAGAAACAACAAAAGCAGAATCAATGTATATGTGCTATCACTATCAGAGCAGCTGTTTATACGCACAAATTAATGTTTGCCTGTTGACACATGGAAGGAATTATACATTGCTAAGGGCAAATTCCTAGAAAATAAAATTTAGGCTTAAGTGAAAACGTGCACTTACATTTGTATTTTAACAAAAATGTTTTTCAGATTGTATTGATGAAATTCAAGACAAACAAATGCAGGTTTTATTAAAACTTTATAGCTGAAAATAACTATGTAGCTACTTTGATTTTTTTTTTTTCTTATTGTGGTTTGTAAAAAATACTCTAAGAAAACTACAGTACAGTTTAGCTGTCATTTCTTAAAGGAAATGAAGTCTCTAAAGAAAATACATGTTTGAGGAAGACAAGAAGTAAATAAGAATGAGATGCAATAAGCACGTTGATGATTGGTGAACTGAGCCAGACCACATGAACAGACAAGTTATTTTAGAATAGAAATCATTTTTGGCAATTTTAAGCCCACACTTAGAGAAGACCATATTTGAGTCTTCCCATCACTGAAGAAGAGAAAAAGAGAGCATTTTGCCTGGCTCTCAAGGTAAGTGTGATTACATTGCCATTGGCTAGAACTTTATCCAATGTATATGTAGCAATGTATATTGCTACTCACAGCATGACTTCTCAGACTTGGGCAACAGCAGTGGCCCGCTGCCAACTGCAAGACAGAAGAGGTTTTAAAACTAAAAGAAAAAAAATACAAATATACTTTCAATACTGCTTTAAGAGCTCCCAGAATTTGTACGAATCTAGACATTTACAGAAAGATCCAAGGGATGGCACAACATGCACGCTCTAATGTTTAAGCCAATCTAGAGACTTCACACAGGAGAATAGCAGTCAGTGAAAGTCTATAAGCCAGGAAGATGAGTAAGATCAGGAAATACGAAGCCTTGAGGTTCCTTGGTACTTAGCAGTTTCTTTGACATCTAGTAAGATTTGAAAATTTAACCGTCTTCATAAATTTCTATAGTAGAATGAATTTCGATAAATAAAAATGTAGTAAGAAATTCAAACTAAATGCTCCTTGGACTAAGGAGAACACCCTACTTTGTTATCTTCAAATATCATAGTTATATTTTGTAATTAATTTTGAGGAACTTGTGGAGTCAATAGCAATCACCTTGATTTTTACATTTCAGTTCTTTTCACTGTCTTCAGTTGGAGGGTTTCTGTCTGCATTCTAATAAATTTTAAAGAGTTACTAAGTAAAATAAATTATACTTAAAAATCCCTATTTTTAATAATATGATACTTATTTTAAAAGATCATTAAAAGTGAACACTAAATTTTTGAAACTCGAATTTAGGATAGATTCTTACTTCTGAAGACACATACACACAAATTCATACACTCAGTTGTATTGGTATATAACACTCTTTTTTAAAATTCCAACTTCAAAAACTGGATTTTTTTGCATAAAATATGTACAATATCCAGTTTTTGAAAAGACATGTAAATTATGGACATATTTAAGTGTACTATTATTAGATATGAAATTTCCTGTTAAGGACTGTGTGCTAAGGCTCGGTTCCCGGCCCAGGGCACTATTGGGAGGTAGCAGAACCTTTAAGAGACGGGGCCTAGTGAGAGGAAATTAAGTTTCTGGAAATGTGCCCTAGTAGGGAATGCTGGGACCACGACCTTTTCCTATCTCTTTTTCTCCCTGGTTTTTATGAGATAGAAAATTTTGTTTTACCACATGCTCTTAAACATGGTGTGCTGCCTCATCCCAGGTGTCAAAATGGAACACATTTAAATAATCATAGACAGAAATCTCTCAAGTCACAAGCCAAGTAGACATTTCCTCCTCTATAAGTTGATGATCTCAAGTATTTTGTCATAGTACTATAGAGTAACACAACATGCTAAGCTGAAAATAAGTGAAAAGTAAAGTGAGGAATAATAATAGGTTATCAGACTAGGATATGTGATCACATATGACCCTTTGCCACCTATTCACATATGCATGTTCCTCATCTTTAGAACATCAAATCTCCATTGTATTTGTATTCCAGAAATGTTGTCCCCAGCATCCTTAATTCCAAAGTTTCGATACCATGTCAAAACAAACTAGTAAATTCTGATCCTTTGGTAATTTCTCCGTTTAGATGTACACTGTCTTGTTTGTACCAGTCATTTTGGACGTGTTCAGAAATATTGCTCATACCATCTTTCTATGGGAAGGAAAAAAGGATTCTGTAAGGCTGTCTCTGTACTGTCCTGTCCTGATGCATGGAAAGGTCTGTTACTCTCTAAATTCTTGTTTCCGTGGGTTCTGCCATAAACTCCAGCTTCAAATACTTTTCTTTCTTGATTTCTCTGAGTCTTACTCAACCAACATAATGCAAACTTGCTCGGTTTCATTCTTTACTTTTCTCCTGTTCTCAGCCAGGAGAAAAGAAAGCTTTTAGCATGTAGGGTTGGTAATACTGTTGTTTAATAACTTCATATCTCCGTCTCTATTAGTCAGCTTTCCAGTTGCTGGGAAAATACCCAACACTCACAGTGTAAAGGAGGAGGTGGTTTGTTTGACCCATGTCCTCAGAGGTCCATTGGCAACTGATGCCAAGGCAGAAATGTTACGGCGAAAGTGCTTGGTGGGGGAAGATGGCACATTTCACAAGACGATGAACCAGAGTAGAACAGCACCAAAGAGAAAGATGCTGGGACCAGATATAGCCATGAATAAAGTG